ATTTCTTGGTTGCGGCAGGGTTTTTTCCAGAATTCTGGTTTTTTTTTGCCCTGCCCGCCAAGTTAGCAGCATAGTTAGCATAGTAGCACAGTGGCACAGGTAGTAAACAGTAACATAAGTTGTTCATATGATACTCTCGAATTCTGTATTTGTATTATGGGCACAATAGCACGAAGGCGGAAGGGACAGATAACCCGTAATTGTATTCCATAGTTTTTGAAACACCTCCTCGATGAGTGACAAATTTGGGGTCTGTTGCCGCAGAAAATGGTGAGCCCTAACCCGCACCCTTATTGGCGTGCTATGATTGGCTGATTATCGCGTTCATAAAAAATTGATGATCATTTATAAAAACAAGTTTTTTACATTTACATATTTATCATCCCTCTGATATTGGACGTGTCTAGCCTTGATGTTGTATCTATAAACTCTAACCCTAACCCTTAGTGACAAAGGTTATCCTTACCGGTTTTTCAGTATTTGGATCTAACCACCCGACTAGACGAGCGGGTGCTCTGGTGAAAATGTAAGATCTGTTAAACTGGGTTAAATCTTTTGTGTTCTATATTAACCACCCGACTAGATGAACGGGTGCTCTGGTATAGATATAAATCCAGTATTCGACATTAATCACCCGACTAGATGAGCGGGTGCTCTGGCAAAGATGTAAATCTGAGGATTTAATTTAAGGCTCTACCATTGTACAGAAAATTATTTTTTTGCTGCTGAGATCTTTAGGACTGAGTTTCTTTCAGAATAAACGTTAGAAACCGGTGATAGATACAATAATCAAGTGCTAGTTATATATAGGAAAATTTCTGTGTTTATAGAGGTTATGTCTTGTCTAACATAGTGTTTTCTTATATGCGAACATTTTTTTTCCCGGTCGATTGCTGACACCTCAATGTGGTGATCGGGTGAACGAATTTTATAAAAATTCAAACCGAATTTTATAAAAAATTCGGCCAAGATCAGCTTAAGAAACTTTATTAAAGAAATAAAGATAAGTTTTTTTTTTGCTTAAATTTTTTTAATTTTTAAGTACAATATTAATTAGTTTTTTGCCTTTGTTATCATCGTCGTTCGCAGATGTCATTGTTCTTTGGTAAGTATAAACTTCGATTTCGTTGTTTCTTGTTTAGCACTATTTATGAATTAACATCTTTTAGTTTTTTTATAGCATTACGCGGTAGTTTATTAACATCTTTTTAGTTTTTCTATCAAACTTATTCACCGAGATTTACATAGTGACAATGTTTTATTAAGCAGTTTAAGCAATGCATATCTTGCAGATTTAGGACTTTCAAAATCAATCAACGTAGATTCAAGAATAGAAACTGATAAAATTTGTGGAATTTTACCATATATAGCACCAGAAATTATTGATCCGGAAGTTCAAAATAGAAAACCATATACCAAAGCATCTGATAATTTATTCATTTGGCAAACTTATGCGGGAAATTTTATATGGAGTACCAGTAACTATATATTATAAAGAATTACTTGGCTCACATTTGCATGAGGAAATAGTATTCGATAAATTAAGGCCATCAATTTTTGAAGAAAATTTTAAAGATACAGAAATGTGTTATGTTAATTTAATGAAACAGTGTTGAGACAAAGAACCGAAAAGACATCCATTCGCAAACGAAGTCGTAGAAGCTTTTACAAAATGGCAAAATGATGAACAAATCTTATTAAGATTATCCAAGTACAGTGAAATATTTATGCAAGTAATGAACCAAATAAAAAATGGTGAAATTATTTATTTTGATCAAATTTACTTTGATTTAGTAAGTGAATTAATTCGGTTTAAATCTCTTACAAAGGATTCTTTATAATTTTATTATTATCATATAGTATGGGAGACACAGTAAAATTTTTGGGCATGCCTCAAACCAAGGCATGCCTCACTTATCGTGCCTCAGGCATGCCTCTAGTATATAAATCACATGACATTGAGATTTCGAGACAATTATTACGCGTTAGCATCGTGCAAAGGGCACAGAAATGGTAATGGTGGTGATAGAGTGGCCAGATTATGCGGTTTCAATTCTGTTTATATTGTTTGTTGAACAATAGGAAAATCATCGAAACTGCATAATCTGGACACTCTAGTTGGTGATAGAGTTGCCTGCCGTAATTGTTTTTAACAAGTTGTAATATTACAACCTATATGTCGTAATATTGCAACCTATATGTCGTAAAGGTTGTAATTAATTACGGCAGACAACTCTAGTTGGTGATAAGATTGCGAGATAATTATATTATCCCTATCAATATTATGCAGAAGGCGTCAAGAGATTGAGATAAATTATTTGGGAATCATAAGATTGGAAAGTTGGCATAAGCCGCATTTATAAGAAAATTACTTGCATTTTGCAAGATACAATATTTGAATTTACATTAGCCAATCAATACGTTGTTATTATTTTCGTTATCACATGATATAGGCATGCCCTTTGGCCCAAAGGCATGCCCATGAGGCATGCCCAGGGGCATGCCTAATGGCATTAACATACATTACTTCCAAGTTGTATAATTATATAACTACTTCTTTGGCTTAATATACTTGATTATTTTATTAATAATCGAAATATAGTCTACTGTAGTTAAAATTATGTAAAATTCTATTTATAATAAATAATTAATTAAAATTATGTAAAATTCTATTTATAATAAATAATTAGTTAATAATTCTCTACTTCTCTGAAAAAATC